GTATAGATTGCCCCACCCTGTGTCATTATGCAGGGAGGGGGGATTTGTCCCCTGAGTGTATAAAAAGCCAGTTTGATTTTTAAATAAAGAGAATTCCATGTTTATACAGACTGGTGTCTTATAGTCTTGTGTGGTCGGCGGTGGTGACCGTGGATCTGTGTTTGGACAGGGAAGCGGGAGTCTAACTGGAAATACCCTAGTGCAGTCGGGGTCCATTTACGTTACATGGGGGCTAATTAGTATACCCCCAACACAGGGCAACAACAACAAAGGCATTATCTCTGGCTCCCTGAATACACTTCTGGTTTGCTTTCCTCTCACTAGTGCCAACAGATTAGCTATGACATTTCCCGCTGTATGCATCACTGTTCCCGTTTTACTCCACTTCTATTAATGAGAACCTGAACTGTGGAGGCTGTGCCAAAAAAAAGGCAAGCAAAGGGAAAAGCATCAGCCACCAGTATCGCTTATATACTCCTACAGCTGATCTTTAGCCCATTACTGTCTTACCATGCACTGGTCTGCTCCATGTCTCTATGGGGAGGAGGCCATCTTTGCAGAGGAGCATTAATTTGCTTCCTTGTGTGATTGCTGTCTACTTGACAACTGGTGATCTGATGACTGGTGGGGGAATGGTAAGAAGCAGCAGGATAGGTGGAAGAGGCACAAATCCAAAAAATTAATGAAGCAGAAACAGGAAAACACTCACAGGTCCTCAGGTACAGCACATCCGTGACATCACCATATGTGAAATCTGGTGAAACTTTAATTCACAGGCAACAGTGTCTATCACACTGCAGGTATACAGCTATGAGATGCTAGGCACATTAACATATCAGGAGTGCACTGCTAATTTACAGGAAGAATTCAAGACAAAAGATACATCTTCAGGGTGCTGCTTAGGCACAATTAAAATTTCTTGATGTTTTTTATAAGATAACAAATCTTCAGTTTTGGAGCTCAGGTCCACTTTTGTGAGCAGTTAAGAATGCCTTCCTCATAAGACAGGCTCCAGGAACAGTCATGCACATGGGAGAAGCTCCTTGGGAACTCTCAAACACTTGAGCCTTCTAGTAAGGGAAGCTCCTTAGGACTCTCTAGAAATTTCTTCTTCAATTATGCACCACATATAGTTTGGATTGGAGCTTATTCTAGCTGCACTGTATCACAAATGAACAGTTCTACAGGACAATGGTTTAATGCTGTGTGGCTTGACTTGCTGTGTGTGTGATCCTTGCTCCAACTCTAACTACAGAGCACAGGGTAAAGAGCAGAGGAGGACCTTGTTTGGTTGCAGTTGAGGTCCAAGACTAAAGCCATCATTATGGCTGGGACTTGGCCTCACCCACCATGCTTGGAGAGTTACTTAAAGCAGTGCTGAAGCTGCGAGGAGTTTGAGCTTAGTAGAGTAGATTCTGGGACTTTGCATCTCTTGATGCCTAGAGACTTCAAGTGCTACTGTGCAACAAGAGAGAACCTGGGGCAGCCAGGAATTGCAGGACTGTTGTGTTCAAGCCAGAGAAAAAAGACCACAAGGTAACTACAGAGATCAGGTTGAGCTGCCAAGCACCCATAAAGTGCAGGAGAGCTGTATGTGGGGTACTGTGTGGTTGCTGCAGGCTGTCGTTCAGAAGCTGCCAAGGGTCAAGAGACAGGAGTGAAATTGCTGACTTCAGAGAGAGAGAGAAAGACCAAATGCAGAGAACTACAGTGAAAGAAAAATACAGGGCAGAGCCACAAAGGACATAGGCTAGAGCTGCAGAATTTTGTCCTAAACTTCCAAGGTTGAGACTGCTGACCCTTGGTGGAGAGGACCAAACAGTGCTGCTGTCGAACAGATGCTGGCTTAAGAGGGGAGCCTGTATATGTGGTGTGAACTCATGCCTGGCCTCTGTGGATCAATTAGGACCAGTGTCTATCTTGAGAAGCATCTTGACCCCCTAAGTTCACTATCCTGTAATTCAGCACTCCATCCAGAGAACCAGGGCTTTCAGTAATACAAATAGGTCAGCAAGTTATCACTTACCTGTACAACTGGTGAAAGCCTTAATTGTCATTGTAAAAGTTTATAAACATCACCTTGTCATTATTACTGTGTCTTAAGCAAAATTCCTTTATAGAGCTTCGCCTGTTAGAAAAGCCCACTTTGCACTACCAGTGTGTTGGAGAGTTCTGAGTACCAGTGAATCAATATACTTAATGTAAATATGTGGCAAAACGTCCAAAAAGAAGCCTAAACGTACCTAAAAATATATACGATCAAATGAAAATACGTATTCCAGGAGATCCATAGCATCTAAAGGGATTGTGCCCCGGATAATGTTGCTTCCTTGATGTAGACGTTACTGCATACTCTGATTGCTTATAAGTTATACCATATGTACCCCTGTGCATTCAAAGGGACTGTGCCGCAGATAATATCATTTCTTTGATTGAAGAGTCACTATATACTTTGAATACTTACCAGCTATATTACATGCACCCCTGTGCAATTAAAGGGACTGTGCTTCAGATAATGCCATTTCTTTGACTGATAAGTTACTGCATACTTCCAGTGCTTACAAGCTATACCATCTGCACCTTTGTGTATTCAAAGGGACTATGCCTCAGATAATGCCAAACTTTGAGCATTGAGAAGTTATTGCCTACTCTGATGGCAAAGACCAAAGAGCTGTCCCAAGGATGTCAGGGACAAAATTGTAGACCTACAAAAGGTTGGACTGGGCTACCAAACTATCGCCAAGCAGCTTGGTGAGAAGGTGACAACAGTTGGTGCAATCATTCGCAAAGAAACACAAAACAACTCATGTGAGGATCTTGTCAATGATCTCCAGGCAGCTGGGACCACAGTCACCAAGAAAACAATTGGTATCACACTACGACGGCAAGGATTGAAATCCTGCAGTGCCCACAAGGTCTCGCTGCTCAAGAAAGCACATGTCCAGGCCCGTCTGAAGCCTGCCACTTAATATCTGAATGATGCAGAGGAGGACTGGTTGAAAGTGTTGTGGTCAGATGAAACCAAAATCGACCTCTTTGGCATCAACTCAACTCGCCGTGTTTGGAGGAGGAGGAATGCTGCCTATGACCCCAAGAACACCATCCCAACTGTCAAACATGGTGGTGGAAACATTCTGCTTTTGGGGGTGTTTTTCTGCTAAGGGGACAGGACAACTGCACCGCATCAAAGGGACGATGGACAGGGCAATGTACCGTCAAATCTTGAGTGAGAACCTTCTTCCCTCAGCCAGGGCATTGAAGATGTATCATGGATGGGTGTTCCAGCATGACAATGACCCAAAACACACGGCCAAGGCAACAAAGGATTAGGTCAAGAAGAAGCACATTAAGGTCCTGGAGTGGCCTAGCCAGTCTCCAGACTTTAATCCGATTAAAAATCTGTGGAGGGAGCTGAAAGTTTGAGTTGCCAAACATCAGCCACCAAACCATAATGACTTGGAGAGAATCTGCCAAGAGGAGTGGGCCAAAATCCCTCCTGAAATGTGTGCAAACCTGGTGGCCAACTACAGGAAACTTCTGACCTCTGCGATTGCCAACAAGGGATTTGCACCAAGTACTAAGTCATGTTATGTGAAGTAGATCAAATACTTATTTCCCTCACAGGGGTGGACTGGCAACTCATGGGGCCCCCGGGCAATAAGGGATCATGGGGCCCCTGTGTCCTTGCCCAAACTCAAAAAGCCTATGAAAAAGGTACCAGGGGCATCTCATGGGGCCCCCTACTGACCCGGGCCCTCGGGCAATGCCCGAGTTTCCAAATGGTCAGTCTGCCCCTGTTCCCTCATGAACATGCAAATCAGTGCATAATTTGTTAGACATGCATTTCTTTTGAATTTTTTTTGTTGCTATTCTGTCTCTCAGTGTTACAATACACCTACCATTCGCTTTTTAGACTGATGATTTCTTTGTGAGTGGGCAAACATTCAAAATCAGCAGGGGATCAAATATTTCCTTCACTGTATTTGCATCCTCCTTTTGGACTACATGTGGTCATACATTTAGGATCAGTTGCTGTTGTGATCTTTATGCCTTGGTGTTTAGTGTATGAGGGGGGTTTTGCTACCTTTCCTGCATCCCTCCCTGTATTACACTAATATTTACTCCAGTCTCATTGTATGATTGGTCTGGTGCTGGGTTTATCCTGGTGCTTATGGCTGGTCAATTCTCAGTATAGGAGTTTTTTTTGTTAGTATGCCTTTACATTCTTTCCTGCATGAAACATGTTATAGCTTACAAATGAGTCTTACAAATGAGTCATCTATTCATGTATCCAGAAGTCTTGGAGATATCACGTGGAGACACCTCCTTGGCTTCTGGATCCTGGCTGGTGGTACTTGCGGGATGGAGAGGAGTGGCCGATACTGTACCTGCCATGACAAATGTTACACATGTCACCCCAATGCACTAGAGCAACACATGCAACAGCATCTTGTTTCACCAGGGTTATGCTTCAGGAAGTACAACCGACTTGATTTGTTCTTTATAGTAGTTGGTTGACAATTCATGCTGCATTATCTATTTGTGCAGGAACAGTAAGGAGTATGGAAGGGGAGCTCAGATTGTGGTCCAATGTGGTCTGGACTGCAAACATGTGTAAGCCAGCATCTTTTTTGGTGTCTTGTATAGTTCAAATTTAGGTAAAGTAGTGTTACTCAGCTTAGATAGACATGACATTTGTAAAATGTCACTTGTTATTGTAGTGAACAATACTGCAGCGATGAGCGAGTACACCTGACTCCTCCTGTCAGCCAGTGCAGAGCTGGATGAAAATGAAGCAATGGTCATGTGGCCTCCTTTTGGTCTCCAGATTTAGGCCCCATGTGTACTGGGCATTTACCCCCATTGCATGAGTCTGTCACGTACCTGGATAGTGAGCCTCCTGGCTCAAGGACCGCTGATGGTGGGACAGCGGTCACAGGGGCACGGTGGGGTATGAGTGCCTGTGATCAGTCCAGTAATAGCTGATGAGTTGTAGGCAGGGAGTAAGGTTCTGATGTAGCCGTACTGGATGGATACTCGAGAGCTGCGTGCTGAGGATGCAGGGTCAGACGAGTCGGGGTCGGTATTGGTCAGGCATATCAGGCTTAAGCGGCAGGAGGAAGAGTAGTCAGGTCACAGGCCAGGTCAGCAATGGAGGATCAATCAGACAGGAGCAGAGACAGAAGAATAATCCAAGACAAGCCAGAGGTCAGGGCAGGAAGCAATTAAGCAGAGATCAGGAACAGGCTGGTTCGGTATCAGGAGACAATCACAGGAATCAGGGAACACAAGCAATGGGACAACTACTGCAGCTAGTTTAAATAGCCCCTTTGGCACCAGCATCAGTGACAGGCTCGTGCGCCTGTATGTGCGAGTGCTCATGTGTGTGCCTATGTCCAAGTGCCTGCACATCTGTTCGGCTCGCAAGGACTCTACACATGCGCATATTTGTGCGCCATGGAACTTCATCTGCACTATTGGCAGACCTTTCCTGACAGAGTCTCTGGCATTTTGCTGCCTCTGGAGGGCACAGGTGCACCATCCAGCCCTGCTTCCAGCTGTCTCTCAAACTCTGTGAGAGTCGGACAGCTGCTGTAACTAGAAAGGGCAGGACAGTGCACTCAACAGCACTTCCGTTTAGTGCAGTATGAATGCCCAGAATACAGATTACATTCTCGGCATTCGTCTATGAGCACACATTGCCTTAACCACTTGCCTACAGGGCACTTTTACCCCATTCCTGCCCAGGCCAATTTTCATCTTTCAGCGCTGTTGCACTTTGAATGACAATTGCGTGGTCATGCAAAACTGTAGACATATGATATTTGTATAATTTGTTTGAGACAGATAGAGCTTTCTTTTGGTGGTATTTATTCATCTCTGGGTTTTTTATTTTTTGCTAAACCAAAAATAACTGAAAATTTTGAAAAATAAAAATGTTTTTTGTTAGTTTCTGTTATACAATTTTGTGAATAAGTGATTTTTTCTCCTTCACTGATGTGTGCTAATGAGGTTGTACTGATGGGAACTGATAGGCTGCACTAATGGGCACTGATAGGCGGCACTGATGTGCACTGATGAGGAGGCATTGACAGGCATCACTGATGGGCATTGACAGGCATCACTGATGGGCACTGAAAGGTGGCACTGATAGGCGGCACTAACTGGCACTGATAGGCAATCATTTCTTCTTCTCTCTGGCTGCATTCTTGCAGCCATTGAGAACTACTGTGTGAGCTGTGATTGGTCACAGCTTGTCACATGGTACAAGGGTGTTGTAAATAGCCTTGTACCATGTGACCTCTGAGATCATTCACAGATTTCACACGTAGTAAGCAATGATGTCAGAAGTGACATCTTGCTTACTACTCTGCATGTGATCACTGATTGGCCAATCAGTGATCACATGATCGGGACCTCACACAGTGGTCCCGTACGACAATCGGTGTTCCACTGTGTGTGGAGGACACGCACAAGGGGGGGGGGGGGGGGCGGGGAGGCCATTTACAAACGGCCACACGACCCTGCACTGCCAACGTCCTGCCGTTTATATACAACGGCTGGACGGGAGGTGGTGTAAAACAAAAGATTTCAATGTCCCTTCAGCTATACACGTATATGTTCCCAGAAAATACTTTAGCACTTAAAGGAGATGATGTACTTACAGATCAGTAGACTTTGGCTAGCAGTACTCTGAGTTTGTCAGTGAACCAGAGGGAGAGGACATCCTTTATGATTAAAGACTAATCCTCATATGACATCAGGAGCAGTTGTTCGTCTATATAAATGGTAAACTTTCAGACAGCCTTGGTTTCCATGGCAAACTGACTGTGATGGCATTACATTGCAACATTCTCTTTTTTATTAAATGCATTCCATCATGGAACCTTGGTTTCCATGGCAACCTAGGACTAACATTCTTATATTATTATATTAGAGTCAAACCTGTGTTCTAAGTTGAAAGAACCAGTAAACGAAATTATAATTTCACACATTTTGAGTTTTCAGTTCACTGCTAAATTACAATCGAGACTCCCACAGACTAGAACATTAAATGTTCAAACATATAAAACAATGAACACTTTATTAGAATACAGTTCAACAAATAGATAAAAGTAGACTGATGGGAATTTATCAAAACTGCAGCAGCAGCTGTGATTGACAACCAATCAACTTCTATATTCTATTTTTAAAGCTGTTCAAAAAAAGTTGATGATAGAAATTGATTTGTTACCATGCACAGCTGCTCCAGATGCTGGCTGTTCCACTTTTGATAAATCCCCCCCACCACCATTATGTTCTCAAAAATGCACACAAATAACACTGAGAAAATTATTTACTTACAGTGGACAATGTAGAACTGTAGGAAGAACTTAGATATATACAGCATCTGTCAATAGTGTTGTTAGAGATTCTGTATATGGCCTACAGAACAGACAGTGCGCAGTCCACATGTGTTTATCTGCTGCTACTCTGCTAAAAAGAAACAGGAATTTATTTTCAGGAAGAAGACATAGAGCTTATCACAGATGCAGTTACAAACTTATAAACACTGCCATCTACTGGTGGAAGAATATATCTCTACTGACCACTGACACTGATATAGTTGTTGTACAAAAATACATGAACACTGTATTCCAACAAGTGTTTTTTTTTTTTTTTTAATTTAAATATTTATTCATTTTTCAAGTAAAACAATACACATTTCCATAATGGAAAATATAACATTACAAATTCTCATAAAACATTAATTTTGTATCATTTACATTTTCTCCCCATACCTCCCTTTCTTTCAACCCTCCCACCTCCCACCCCACTACATTATACCCCTGACATCTGTCTGATCGACTTGTATCTCATATCCTCTGGTTACCGAGGTTTGAAAAAGGAAAAGAAAGAGAGAAAGGCTAATTATTATATTTTCTCCTTTTCCTTATCCTTTCCCCCTTTTTTCCCCTGCTTTCTTCTTGTCCTCTCTTTCCCTTTTCTTTACGCTTACTTACTCAGTACCTTCCTTTACCTTTACTTTGAACTCCTCCCATTTCTCCCATTTTATATGATATGTCACCATCCTATCTTCCTGTATATAATAAAGTTTTTCCAATCTAGCAATCTGGTCCACTCTATTCATCCAATCCTCTTCCCTAGGTGCCTCAACTTTACGCCAAAACTTAGGAATCAGACTTTTTGCTGCATTTAGGTAACACAATATACCCAGTTCTTTATATTTATTTCCAGATAATATTGAATTATGGAAAAGACAGGTTTCAGGGTCCAATCCTATCTCCAATCCAGTGATAATCGTGATTTGATTTATAACATTTTCCCAATATATTTGTATTTTTGGACATTCCCACCATATGTGATACATCGTGCCCAACCCTCCACATCCTCGCCAACACCAAGGTTGCTTCTCCTCCCTCATTTTGTGCTCTATCACCGGTGTAACATACCACCTTGTCAAACATTTAAAATTCATTTCCACCTCACGCATACTAATATTTTCGTGTACCATTCTACATATTTTCCTCAGTGTGTGCTCTTCCCACTCCACTCCTAAATCCTTTTCCCATTTTTCTATATACTTTAATTTAAACTTACTATCTAAATCCGTGAGAGCTTTATATGCTTTAGCAGTGCTGTGTTTCCCATCACCTCGGTCTTCTAAAAATTTCTCAAATTCATTCCACTCTTTCCTAGTTCTAAGGGGCTTCGTCAATTTCTCCACAAATTGTTTTAATTGATTATACCTCCATATATCTGTCCTAGTGAAAATCCTTCCCTCTTCCCTTTTCAAATCCTCCAGTGTTCTTAAGTTTACCCCCTCCATTACATCTCTCAGCTGAGCGTCTTCCTTCATTATCCATCTACCTGAAATTTCCTCTTTACCTGGGGGGAAAAAATCTGAATTTCTTAGTGACATTAATAGTGAATTAAACTCCCATTTCCTCTGTTTGTGCATTTTATCCCACTCCCTTATTACAATCCTCGTGTATATACTCGTGCTCTCCTCTAATTCTCTGAATTGTGGTGGCTCCCATACACTCCTACCCAAATCCTTTCTACTAAGTGTATTTTCAATTGTGACCCAATGTTTACTTTTTGAGTTATGTGTCCAGTCAAAAATTCTTGCTAAGATAACTGCTCTATGGTATCTTTTAAAGTCCGGTACTCCCAACCCCCCTTTTTCTTTATTTCTACTTAGCACTTCATATGATATCCTAGGTTTTTTATTTTTCCATATATATTAGTTACCATTCGCTTAATTGTCCTAAAATACACCTCTGGAAGATTAATGGGAATCATCTGGAATTTATACAGTATCTTAGGGAGAATTACCATTTTTATCAGGTTGATACGACCCAGCCAGGAAGGATTTCCTCCACCCCATTTTCCTCAATTCCTCTCTGATTTCATTTAACATAGGGATATAATTAGCTTTATAAAGATTTTTCTGTGAGGGAGTAAGTTTTACTCCCAGGTACTTTATTTCTCTATCTTTCCATATAAAGGGAAACTCTCTCTGTATATTTTCTTTTTCACTCTTTGGAAGATTTATATTTAATATCTCTGTTTTGCTCGGGTTAATTTTTAGATTTGACATTTCCCCATATTCCTTCAGTGTTTTCATTAGGTTAGGAAGTGTTATCCTCGGGTTTCCAACATAGAATAATAAATCGTCCGCGAAAGCGGCTATCTTATGTTCTGTCTTTCCAACATTTATTCCCTTTATATTTATATTTTTCCTAATTGTTAATAACAGGGGTTCCAATGATATAACAAACAGCAGTGGGGAAAGTGGGCATCCCTGTCTAGTTCCATTTGACATAGAAAAGGTCTCCGATCTCTCTCCATTTACCATTACCATCGCGGACGGTCCTTCATATAACTTTCCAATCCACTTTCTCATCCTACTACCCAATCCCAGGACCTCCAGTGTGTCCATCATAAAACTCCAGTTAACCCTGTCGAACGCCTTCTCCGCATCGATCGAGAGCAGCACTACTGGATTTTTTTCCGTTTTACTTTTCTGTATAAGCATCAGGGACCTCAACCCATTATCTCGACCCTCTCTTCCTCTAACAAAGCCCACCTGGTCTCCATGTATCCAATCTGGCATCAGATCTCTTAACCTATTCGCCAATACTTTTGCATACAACTTCGTGTCTACGTTCAATAGCGATATCGGTCTATAACTTGAACAATGGGTGATATCTTTACCTTCCTTATGTATTAAGACCACCTGTGCCAGAAGGGATTCCTGTCTTATCTCCATCTCTCCCCCCAACTCCTCCATATATCTCTTTAACTTAGGTAACAGTAAATCACTATATTTTTTATAATACCTCACGGTATATCCATCTGGGCCTGGGCTTTTTCCCGTCTTAAAGCTTTTTAATGCTATTTTTAGTTCTTCCTGTGTGATTTCAGATTCTAAGGAGT